CTTTTTTTTGGTATAGCCATACCTTTTAAGATTTTTTGACTTGACTATCTTGACGACGCTTTGAAGCAATGTTTGTCCTCATATTTGATATCCTGGCTGCTGAAGGTCTAAGTGGGCAGGTAGGTCTGTAATTGGTTGTTCTTGTAGCTTCACTAGCATTTTCTGTTGCAAATTTGATACCCTGATATGTTAGGTTTCCTTACCAAGCATGTCTTCTTAAAACACGTTCACAAAATATCATTTAATTTTGCAATTGACTATCACATACATATACACCTATACTTGATAACTAATAAATATCAGCAATACTACTTTTAGTCCAGACTTGCACGGCACGGGTATTATGTATCTTGAAAAGTGACATTATGTTGTTTTTTTTGACACTATATTGGTTTTTTTGAGATAACGTAGGTTTTTCTACAAGATGTTAACTTATCACTAGCTGATGGACACTTGTTGTGAACTCGTTTTGTAGTCATACGTGTTGCCTAAATGCCATGATGCTTCAGTTATCAATGAGTGTGCTAATAATCTGTGTTGATGATAATTCCATTGGTTTATTGTCTCAAATAGACTTACTTGAGATGTATTCAAAACTTGAAATTAGTTGCTCATCCACTTTTCTTATTCAACCCCATACAAATAATCCGTCGAACACATATAGCTAATAGATATACATACTTTATTTTCGCATATTCAGTAATAATTTTCTCACATAGCAAGTAACTTGCTACTCAACCAACTTTCTTTAATAACATTTAGCAACAATCTCACATACTATTGTAAGTAATTTAAAACCATTTTGCACAATAGTTGCTATTTCTGCTCAATGTTATTGCAGCTCCTGATGATGATGACATAGTCCATTGAAAGCTAGAGACTAATACTCGTAAAGTATAAAGAGCCCTCATTGCTTGAATTTTGCCGAAATACCCAACTAAAGGCGGAAGCTTTATTTTTCACATAACTGGTCTAGACTACCACGTCTCAATATATATATATATACATATATATATATATATATATATATATATATATATATATATATATATATATATATATAGGTGAAAAATTAAAGCTTCCGCCTTTTGTTGGGTACTTCGACAAAATTTAAGCAAAGAGGACTCTTTATACTTTTTTAATTCTCTCTAGCTTTCAATGGACTTTGCCATCATCATCAGGAGAGTAGTATGTGAGGATGTTGCTAATTGTTGTTTACGTATAGGATGAGGGAAACGTCCAGTAACATGGTGAGAGCTGGATAGATGTTACAATGGTCAAAATTATATAAAATATGACAAGAACAAGTTAAAAACAGATTTGTTAAAAATTATTTAAAAAAAGTTTTTTTTTAAATAATTTTTAATCTGTTTTTAACTTGTTTTTTTTTAAATAATTTTTAATCTGTTTTTAACTTGTTCTTGTCATATTTTATATAATTTTGACCATTGTACCATCTATCCAGCTCTCACCATGTTACTGGACGTTTCCCTCATCCTATACGTAAACCACAATTAGCAACATCCTCACATACTACTCTCCTGATGAAGATGGCAAAGTCCATTGAAAGCTAGAGAGAATTAAAAATGTATAAAGAGTCCTCTTTGCTTAAATTTTGTCGAAGTACCCAACAAAAGGCGGAAGCTTTAATTTTTCACCTAACTGGTCTAGACGACAATGACCACGTCTCAAGTTATATATATATATATATATATATTTCGCGTTTCTTTGAATATTAAATCGCTATATAAAAATCAGCTTTAGAGGAAAATTTGCGAGGCTACTTCCTGGACTAATGACAAAATGACAACTAACAACAGGATTAGTATTAAGCCGTTTATTATTATTATTATTATCGTTATATCACAGCTCTGCTTATGGCTATGGTACCAAATGGATACACCGAGTATACGCCGTACACCTAGGGTGTGCGGTACTCAATACTACTACCTTCAGCATGCTGATAAGGTTGTGTGTCCCTGGGACGGACTTTATTGCTTCCGTGGTGGCTTTGGATATTAGCCCTGTTGCTCCAATTACGATAGGTATGATCTTCGTTATGATATTCCATAGTTTTTATGGCTCGATCTAGAGATCGAGAACTTTTGTATCTTATCTTTTGAATTATGTCCGTTATTATTATCATTATTATTATTGTTGTTATTATTACTATTTTTATTATTCACTATTTCTATACGTCGTAGGATGAACTTTTAAAACAACAAATTACAGTACGTCTTGTATGCTGATTCAGTATGTAAAATATGTCACCGCTTTCTCAACTACTATCGGCCAAACATAATCAAGCCACAGCAAACGTGAGGAATCTATATCATGTGAGTAACGAGGAAGAAATAATTAGCTATAATTAAAAGTGATTATCTCTGGGAGATGGAATTAAGGTATGTTTGATGTTAAAACATAATCAAGCTCAGTGTTGCCCAACCAGTTTTTTCTGGTTGCTCGTGATTAATAACTTAATAGTTATTAATCAACTCTATTTTTCAAAGGCGAAACGCTATTAAAATGTAATTCTTCCAATGGACTAATGTGGGTGTTTATACCATTAAGGAAAAAATATCAGCGGATGTATAATAAACTTAAGCTGTAATGTAGCCACATTGAGCAACGTTTACAATATACATACATACATGTACTCAGATGATAAAATGGATTCGTAGTATACGTACAATTATACGCATAACATACAAAGGTATAATCAACTCGTGATCACTAAATTGGGTGGGACAAACTGGTTGTAAAGGTTGACCTTGAGGTCAATTAACTATGCTATAAAATAAAATATTACTGTGGCTTTGGATGTTAGATGTGCTATAACTAATCATCACCAACAGTCTCTATACTGAGTGTTTTCGGACTTCGAAAGATTCGCGGAGAACTTACCTGGGGAGAAATAAGCTCCATAAAGGATTACAGTTGAAATCATTTTTTCCTGTCTTCCCAACACCGCTGTGTACATTAATAAGACCAATACTAGTTAGGAGCTGGAATGATGGTGTATATAAAAACAAGCTAACTGGTTTAGTTGGTTAGGTATGCTTCATAGCAGATCGGCAATTTCATCCAAGTTTTTATCAGCAGCTTTGAAATTCGTTTTCAATTGTCCATCTGCCTAGGTGGACTGACAAGCGCAATCTATACAGGGTATCCACAAACTTGAGACTTTTCTTTTTAGTAATAAGCAAGTTTTCCTAATAACCCATATACCAAACCCTTCAAATAACCGAGATATTAAGTTCCAAAAATTCTAAACTAAATGAACCAGTCGTACCTTGCCTCCCTCCCCCACCTCCTTCCCACCCTCACCGTAAAAAAGTATGACGTTTTGTGGTACTATGTGAGTCAGTCTAGTCAGTAACAAAATCAGGCGGTGTGTAAGCTAACCTATTTTATAAACAAGTGGCATTTGAGAAACCGAAATTCACATCGTCCACAATGTTTTCATCAGAGCTGCATAGCTTGTTTATATCGTGCAAAAACCATCTGGGTGGACACAGTAGCAGACCTAGACCCAAGGGAGGCATAGAGAGGTGTCAAGGGGGGCGGAACGCGTTTGCATTTAAAAAACAAAAAAATTTACAAACAACATTAACAAATAACATTACAATGTAATGTTTAATTTACAGGCATAAAGTTAGAAATTAAATATCATATTCACTTATGTCAACCGCTGTTTCAAAACCGAGCGTCATCAATCGCAGTTTATACAAGAGTACAAGTCAAGCTCCGCTTAACATTCATCACTAAGAAACCAATTGTGTACCTACCAGACGACGATAAGCATCTGTGTCATTCATTCCCACAAACTTGTGAAAAATTTGACGTTTCGATGTACATGTTTTGTTGAGAAATCCTTTTGAGTGTGTCAAATTATTGTGCCTCACTGTTAAAAGGTAAGTTTGTGTATTTACAGACTTCAGTTACTATTTTTATTTAATTTACTGTTGATGTTGTTGATTGAGTGGAGACGCGTTCATAGATCGACTACGGGTATTGGGACTTTTTTACGACATCACAATTAAACCAACGCAACGTGGCGAAATAATTTTTGAACGACGAACTTTAAGTAGGTACCTAATATTGATTCCAAACGTATGTAAATTTACTATTATAACTTCAACCTGCCTACAAAAATATAAATCTCCCGGTGGCCAATATACAGGGTGACTTTGAAGTTGAGTCATTAATTTTCAGATAATGATTGTAGAAGGAATATAAACCAAAATATGTGTAAAAATAAAAAAAAAATTTTTACCTTGTTTTATAAAGTATCCTCCCGACAAGTATTTCAGTGCGGACCTGTATTTGATCGTGAGGTCCCCTGTGAGGTCTTAAGTCACCTGATTCACGAGCCCGTTGTACTACATTAACAAAGGCACGAGGGGTTGGTTGCACTCGATTGGGAAACCGATCCGCATAAACATGTGCCATTTTTTATTTCGTTTGAGCCACGCAACAGATACAACTATTCACTGACACTGACTGTATACAAATGAATGAAATAATTCGTTCCAAATTCTTTCGCTTTTTTGTTTCCGATGCGATGAACCGATACGACGGATTATATCCGTTGTCGCCAAACACGAGCACATTGAGACAGGGCGGTACTCAAACTTCCAAAGGGCTATAACTTTGTTACTTTAATTTTACCAGAAAAATGGTAAAGGAAAAAAACATTTCTTTTGATCAGATCTACTCACTGTTAAAATAAATGACTCAACTTCGAAGTCACCCTGTATTGCTGAAATTAAGATAAAATAATGGGCATATAATTAGTAACTACATGTAGGCATTTTGCTTATTTATTTATTCCTTATTTGTTTTGTTGTTATAGGTGCAAAAAGGCAGCGAAAAAAAGAAAGTTTTCCGAAGATTACGTTAAGTTTGGATTTACCTTCATAGAAAAAGACGAGTTACAATTGCCTCAGTGTGTGATATGTATGAAAGTTTTAAGTAATGACAGCATGCGGCCTTGAAAGGCATTTGAAGCAACAAAACAATACTCTGGTTTTGGAGATGAAAAAGTTTTTTTTTCTTCTAAAGCAGAATCACTCAAGCGGATGAGACTGGATAAATCGGGAAGTTATCACACAGGTGTATCGCAGCATCTCAAATCTTCATTTGAAATAGCTTTTATGATAGCAAAGCAAAATAAACCTCATAGTTTCCTTGAAGAATTAATAAAACCATGTGTCCTAAAAGCCATGTAGATAATTTTAGGAGAACATGCAGAGCAAAAAATGAAGTCTATTTCTCTTTCGAATAACACAGTCAAGCGTAGAATCGGTGACATTGCAGCAGACATAAAGTCACAAATAATTAACAAAGTAGAATTATCGCCATGTTTGCGATTAGTTGCGATGAACCTACCGTCATCGTTAATTGTGCACAGTTCATAGTTTATGTTCGTTACATCGGCGGAGATATCATTCAAGAAGAGATTTTGTACTCTCAATCTTTGACAGCAGGTACTGCGTCTGAAGATCTATTTAAATTAATATCAAATTTTGTTGAAAAAATGATTTGGATTGGAAGAAACTCATTGGACTGTGCACAGATGGCGCACCTGCAATGATAGGTGTATGATCAGGCTTAGCTAAAAAGCTCAAGGAAAAATATCCCGCAATGATTGGTACCCATTGTGTTATTCATGGGCAAGCTTTGGCTTCCAAAACATTGCCACAGAAATTACGCCAGAGTTTGGACTCGGCTATAAGGATTGTTCGGCGATACTATCGAGACATCAATTCATAGTATGACACATGACAAAAAATCCATTCGTTGTCGATATGTCACAGTTACCAGAAGAAGTTCAGAAAGAATTTCTAGAAATGAAGGCTGATTCGTACATGAAAGGTGACTTCCATCTTTTAACATTGAAGAAATTTTGGATCAAATGTTGCCTATTAATTCGACTATTGCCTCTCTTGCTTTACGAATACTAGTTCCTTTTTCTTCAACTTACTTATGTCACTCAGACTTTTCTGCTCTAGTCTTAATTAAAACTAAACAGCGAAATCGTCTTGATGTCGATAGGACCTGATGATAGCTCTGGCCAAAAACAGAACCTAGAATCAACCAACTGGTACAGAACATGCAATCTCAAGTGTATCATTAGTACCTACACTTATTTTATTCGGTTTTCGATAAAAAACATTTATTGGTTTATTTAAACTTTTAAAGCTTCTTTATTAGAATTAAAATAAAAGTCTTTGTACCTATATAATGTGCGTTTTTTTGTATTTATTGGAAATGTAAAGGGGGGCATGAAAATGTAATTTATAGTCTGGGGAGCCTCAACAAAAAAAAAAGTTTGGGAAACCCTGGACAGTCCCAAATGTTGCAAATTAATGAAGAAGAAAATAAAATTTTTATTATTTTCAAACAAGGCATGTGACAGAGAAGTATTTAAAATTCTTTACCAGGTGAATGGTGAGTATTTTTTACGTTTCAAACGTAGTTTTTTCTGAAAGGGAAGTCCCAACCTTCAGGACACTCTGTAGATGTAACATGCTCAATTCGATGTCATGGAGCCTTTGCAACGCATGAAGCTATATCTTTCTCTATGTAGAAAGTCTCAAGATTTTAGCACTAATATAGTTATGACGACTTCTAGATCAAATAATTGCTTATGATATATCGATATGCTAGAGACAGGAGACCGTCTTTCACTTTACATGACACACACGTCCGAAGAAGCGTGCAACGGTAGTTGTTGGTACGTATGTTGTAATATGGAGATGAAAGTTAATATTAAACAACACGCATGGCTGCATCCGATATAAAGATGTTGAGTATAAATACGAAATCGAAAAAGGTAAATTCCGGTGAGCGGTAAACGTTATGTTTGAAAGGCTTTAACTCAAGCTAATTATCGGATCATGTGAATGTACATTAGTTCACCTAGGGGTCATTTGTTGTTATATATCCATAATGATGTCCTAATAATCAGGGAAATGGTTCCTCAAAATATTTAATGAAGGAAAGTTGAATCTTTGAAAGTACTTTAGATACTATCATTATTTTTGGCAGCTTATAACAGGATATAAAATGACATATTTCAGTACAGTTAGTTATTCTATTAACTCACCACATCCCTGCAAACATGTGATACTTTTTACAACAAAATTGCTAGGTCACTGGTATTTGTCAAGGTGTATATATTTTAAACATCTGACAAGATTTACGTTACTTCTAGGTAACTTTGTTTTCTTTCTAACTATCAATAGTGCCGGAGGTATGTTCAATGAAAGATTTGGAGTGTTTGGACATATCTGACTGTGTATATATATATACAGGGTATTAATAAAGTATGTAGACAAACTTTAGCCATCGAGTCGTTGGTCAATTTGAAGATGAAATTTCCATATCAACATGGGTCCGCAACAGCTAGAGCATATTAGCACTAAAAGAAATGAAGATATTGTTCTAAAAACTTACAAAAGAATGGAAAGTATTTTATTTTGATTAAGTATGCCCTGTGGTGAATATCTCGTGATTTTCAGTTGTTTTCAGACCCTCCATGTACGTAGATATGGATGGTTATTCAGTATTTTTTGAAAAAATAGCATGACATCAATTTGTTTTGATCGCAATACTTTTAATATTTAAGCATTGTGCTTATCTAGACACCTATGACGTACCCGAAAACAATTGAATTAATTTATTTTCTTGAATAATTCGTGACTACTTTAAACATTTATTGTAAAAAAGAACTATTCGATATTTTCTATTGTTGTCATTCTATTCGAATATTACTGTTCAAAACCTTCTAAATAATTTTTTTTCCAAAAATACAGGATAATACTATTTTCATCCACATTGAGTCTGAGCTCTAGCTCGGAAAGAAAACCGTTACGGACCCATGTTCATATGAACATTTAGTCTTCAAATTGACCAAGGATTCGATGGTTAAAGTGTATCTATATACTTTATTAACACGCTGTATATATGAAACATGAATTTAGAGCCTATTTCCAGATCCTACATATCACTTCACTATGTCCATTTCAGCCTGGAACATCCTGTATAGACGGGGCGGGGCCATAACCTAACAAAGTCTTGCTTTACCTCCGCCTCTATTGGTAGGGATATAGTGTATCGCGTCAAAATCACGTAACATGTCTTTTACTATTTTGATCACTTAGTAGCAATTTGAATTTCTCTTTATTAGTGGTAGAATGCCGATTCTTAGGGCAAACCCTCTTTAATATTTTCTTTCGGCAAATTTCATAGTTTATTGATTGTATGACTTCACACTTTTATATTTTTCTTTATTATCGACTCAGTATTGTGTTGACATTCTTTGGAAACTGTTATAATATTTTATTAACGACTATCTCAGGAATTTCCTCGTAGAGTTGGTTTTCTAGAGTCCGCGCATCGGCAATCAGCAGAACACTCTGTGGTTTTTCTCCTTTTATTTTGGTTTCCTATCGAACACATCTTCTTCAAGGCCACTCATTTAATCTTTATTTTAAAAAGCTTCGTGTTCTGCGTCATTCACTTTCCTGTTGAGATTTATTGGTGAGTGGGTCGTTTCGTTAACTTCCAGGTTCTGGGACATCAGGCCCCAAAGACCTGTTTATGGAGTAGCACCTCTTTATTTTGTACCTTACGTTTAGTTGTTTTGCTTTGCTATCCCCTCCAGTTTCTTATGGGATTTTAACCATCAGCGGTAAGTGTTTTTTATACCATCGGACCACGTGCATTAATGCATGTCCTGAAGAAATTTGCTCAATATCTGCTTCCTTTTAGTGGGAAGGCATTGCGGAGAGCCACCATTCACACTCCTCTAGCTTTGTTTTGTAGCTGCCTTGTAGTTGTTTTGCAGCTGATATTGCTGGAAGCCACCCCTTCCCCTTGGGCAAAAAAACTGAAGTGAACGGGTAAATTATCATTTTAAACTATTTTATAGTTATTTATATATTGATTATTTCTGACTGAAATTCTTAGAGTGTACTTCTTACTCCATACAGGTAATGATTCTGATTTTTTAGCTGCCATAATATGTTTTTTAGAATAAGGGATAACTTTCTGAGGGTATATTACTTTAGTACATAACATAGAGAGTGGATTTTTAAGCAGTCTTTCTCTATCTAGGATTTTTTTTGTGGGACAGTAAATTTTTAATACGATGCAAGCAGCCTCTACCTCGTTAAGTTCCTTGCGTATCGGTACACTACAGGCCACAGCTGAAATCATCTCGGCTGCGCCTGGAGAATTTACAGGAGGAAGACCGCCGTCAAGCTAAGTTTAGGTTTAAGCGCTCTAGTATTTGTAAAGCCGTATACCATGGTAGACGTTTAGCGGGGATAGATTTTAAACATCTTGTGCGGCAATTTTTGATAATATCTATTTTTTTTAACTTGCAACTTCCAGTGGTGGAACATTTTCATTGTGGAACATGTGTGTTAGTTGATTGGTGAATATATGTATTGTGCTTTTTTTTAATATTGGCTATCTGTGTACTATTAACTAGGTTACGCCATTCTTTTTTGTGTGCAAGCAAAACAAATTCCAACTAACACCTCGGGGATTTGTGGCTTGATGTGTCTTGAGTCACTGGCGCTTTTACCCCCTCTCCGCTTTATAGAGCTAGGACCTGAATTTGCACGCCACTAGATAGCTGTTTTGCATTGACTAACCCTCAGATTTCACTTATCCTGTTTTATTAATTTATCAATTAATTAATAAAAAATGGGAAGAGGAATCACACCACCATTTCCTCTTGTTTATAAAAAAAGGCGTGGCAATAGGTTGTTGCCTTGCATGTTCCTCCCAATCTACAACAGATGAACAGTCAGTCACCTAGTATGACATTGCATTTCCATACGCGTTAGAAAACACGCCACTAGGCGTGTGCTCGTTGAAATGTACTTATAATTCCTCGCATTAGAAACGTAATACATATGGTCGTTTTCAGAAAAATGTTAGCAACCCGGAGTCAATCACCCGTGGAGAGGCCAAGTGGCTGCTGCTGCACTCTAGGCCTTAATTGCATTAACATGACCCCACCCACAAACGCATGTTAATAAATCGTGCACCGTTCTGTGATTTATTGACAGAAAACCAATATGGTAGTGCCGCGTTTTTACCAGGCTCGGCTTAAGGTAGCATCACACGCTACTGCTAGCCTGACCTGTATACAAAATAAAAATTTGTCTGTATGAGCGAAAGATAGGTTGCGGCAGTTAGACTTTATCTATTATGGGGGCTCGATTTGTTCAATACTTCTGGTGGTATTTGTTGTTTCATCGCCAAATATAGATGTTTTCCTGAATTTTTACACGTTCATGTCACGTGAGTTGTCACACTGACAGATGCAAGCATACGCAAATAGAAAAGTCTGAAGGCGGCGAGGCAAAACTCAAAAGCATAATATGGATGTGAAGTAGATTGCATGTATATAGGGTACTATAAAAGTTTTGCAATATGACTCAACAAAAGGACGCAGGAGTCTGCATGTTACTGCATGTTGAGAAATGTCCAAGGGTGCATACTAGCCGCCAGCGGCACGTCTGTTGATGTAGTTGTTCATTGCTGTTGACAGTGCGGACTATGGCATCGTGGTCACGTAGTGAGATAAGGGC